GAGGAGGAACTGCTTGTCTTTGGGGCATCCTCTGACAAAGTATTCCTGGGTGAGGCAGCTGAGTGCCCAGTAGTACATCCTGACTCGATACCCTTCTGCTTTTGGCTTTCAGGGCCCCCACCTGCCTTTCCCATGGGCCTGGCTCATTCCTGGAGTGCACATGTGCTTCAGCACTCACTACACCGAAATTCTGTGTTCTCTGAGGTGTGGAGGGTGTGAGCCCTTCAGCTGGCGATGATACATGGCCACTGGTCCCAATGCTGGCCCCCACTGACCCTCCCTACTGCAGGCTAGCCTCCCCTGACCCTCCCTTGCCTCTTGACACTGTTTCCTGCAGTCCCAGTGACTTGAGTCATCTTCTGATACATCTCTACCCATACTGCAATTCTTCCTCAAGTGTCCTCCCTCTCCCGGGACCTGCCTGGGGCCATGGGCCTCCGTGAGTGCTAACGTGTAGCTGCATTCTTCAGCCCTGTGCAGGGTTCTGCCTTAGGCAGGGTAGACTAGGAGGAGACTATAGTTGTAAAGCAGCGGTGGAAAGGTGTTTGTGGGTATTTGGGTACCCAGGTACTGCAGGTGAGAACCAGAAGGAGCTCCACTCCATTGTGTGTGTGTGTGTGTGTGTGTGTGTGTGTGTGTGTGTGTGTGTGTGTGTGTGTGTGTGTGTGTGTGTGTGTAATGGACACTGGCACAGTCAGTCGAACAGGGAGAGCCGACTCTGGGCTGTGTATGTGTAATGGACACTGGCACAGTCAGTCGAACAAGGAGAGCCGACTCTGGGCTCTGTGTGTGTGTGTGTAAAGGACACTGGCACAGTCACTGGAACAGGGAGAGCCGACTCTGGGCTGTGTATGTGTGTGTGTGTGTAATGGACACTGGCACAGTCAGTCGAACAGGGAGAGCCGACTCTGGGCTGCTGTTTTTTGTGACATGTGGCCTTCAAGTGTCTCGTGGATTTTGGAGAGGCCTAGAGCTAGGCTGAAGCATACTGGCCTGTAAATTACTACTACAGTGCCTCATCTTCACAATTCATATAAGGGCACGCAGCTCAAAAGGCCACCAAGAGAAGTGGTTTCCCAAGGCAAGCCACCTGAGTATCTCTGACCTTACTGTAAGCCTGAGCTTGTCAATGTGTGTTTTGTTTTCTTGTCAGCTTTGGGGATGACCCTAGTTTCTGCCTTCTGTGTAAAATTTTATCCTTAAGATTTTCTGTCAGCCTTTGCTTTAAGTTAGCCTTACCCATTTTCATGTTTCATGTTGGGATCCTACAGGCAGCCTGTGAATGTGGGCTCCTTCCCTTGCTCTGCTGTGTCCCCGGCAGACTGCTTGGCCCTCAGTTCTCTGCTGTCTGTGTAGGCCGGAGGGGGCACATTCTGTCTGAGCTCCTCGTTCTCCAGACTTCCTCTTGTCTGTGCTGGGGACTCGAGTCTGATATTGTCAAATAGAAATGACTGAGTTCTCTGATGGTTCCTAAGCCCTGTTTTCCGATGCTAGGTTGTGACCATTATTAGGTGATGAGGCCAATTTCATGTCATGCCCACAGAAAAGCAGACATGCCCTCCCCTTCTGTGTGTGTTGGGGCGGGGGGGCATTGAGAGGCTCAGCATCCGGGTCCTGATGTAATGTGTCCAGTCGGACGTGTTTACCAGCCCAGGCACTCTAGCGCGCTGCTACTCTTCTATGAAAGAAGTCCTGTTTACTTTCTTTGTAGCATTGTTTCGTGTACTGGGAGACTCCTGTCAGGGCCTGCAGCCAGTGGTTATGGGTCAGAGGGAGGGGTCGTGTGGACTCTCCTCAGAGTGGGTGTGTGTCAGTGCCGAGGAATATGGTATCCTCACGTCTTTCTTGCAGCCTTCCCCTTCCCTTGGTCTAGATAAGCTTCCCTTAGGTGCATCTGTGGAACTATGCTTTCTCTCTTGGTGCCCTGTTTTTAGCAGTACACTTATTAGCGCAGTCCTTTGAGTGTTGTCTGTCTGTCTCAGCCCAAGCCTAGGAACCCCGAGAGGCCTGCTTTTGCTCGCTGTGCATGAAGGGTCTATAGTGTGACACCATATACCTTGGTTAGTATGGGTGCTGGGCCAGAGCCACCCGGCTGTTGCATTAGATATCTCTTCTGCTATAACCATTCCTTATTCCAGAGAGGACAAACGCAGGTGGTATGCAGACCAAAGGGGCTAGAAGCCCAAAGAGCCAGCAGAAACCTCCCATAGCTGCTACCTCTCCCTCACAGGCCACCCACCTGGGCCTCAGGCCTTGCTTTCCTCCACACCGGGTGCTGAGCTGTAGGACACACAGAATTTCCCAAGGTGAGACCCAAGTCATGGGCTCTCCCTGGTGTGCCTGGACCCAGTGGTTTCCTGTCTGGTACATCGAATGGATTCAGACCACTAAAGTGGCTAGTGAGAACTAGGCCATTTGAACCCTATGAGAGTGGAGGGACATGCTCTTTGGCATTGTGGGTATTTTCCTTCACATCCCTCCAAACCCACAAGCATGGAGGCAGTGAGGTGGAAAGAGATGGAGGTTCAGTAGCATTGTTAGGGTTGTCTGCACATGAAAAGCATGTTTCCAGCATCTTACTTTGAGTTTAAGAAAATGCTAATACTGCCAGCTCATCAGGGCTGGTGGGGTTTAGAACCAGCTTCCTATTAATAAGATAGGACCTCTTTGCCATGCCCCCACCCACCCCAGCAACAGCAGTATTTCCATAGCAAACACTGAGAATAGATAGACGACCTCTTGGGACAATTGCAGCAGGAAGCAGATGAGTCTTGTGATAGAAAGTTTGCTCTTCAGCCTTGAGCAAACCATAGGTAACTGAATCTCTTTTCTCTGTGGCGTGAAAGAGTGAGATGTGTATAAGGACTTGAGTCACAAAAGCACTTCTTCAGGCTCATGAGCCCCAGTCCTGATTTGCTGATCTGAATGCTATGAGGCTACACTGCCTCTGTGTACTTGATCCTGCTGCCTGGCTGCCAGTACTCTGTCCCTTCTGACCTGCTTCTCATGACTCAATGCCCACGTCCGTTTCCTCCCCCCTCTCCCCACCCACCTTGACCTGGCTCTTTGACTCGATGCCTCACATCTTTTCTTCGTCATACTGAATCATGGCTGGTTCCTGAATGGGCATGCTCATGACCACACTCCAGGACCCATGTTCCTCCCAGAGTTACTTGCTCTGTTCCCTTTGTTCTGGCACCGGTAGAGTCATCTGATTAAAGGCTGTGCCAGAACACTTAAGTAAGCAGCAGTCTGACACTGTATACTTTTCTTTTTTTCTTTCCTTCTATTAAAAAAAATTCTGGGGCTGGGAAGGTGGCTCAGTGGTAAAGCTCTTGCCTTGCATGCATGAGGCCCTGGGTTCAATTCCCCAGCACCACATAAGCAAAAAGAAAAAAAGCTGGAAGTGGCGCTGTGGCTCAAGTGGTAGAGTGCTAGCTTTGAGCTGAAGAGCTGAGGGACAGTGCCCAGGCCCAGAGTTCAGGCCCCACGACCGGATCCCCCCACCCCCCCAAAAAAAATTCTCTCCTTTCTGCCCAGGGCCTTGCACTTGTTAGACAGGTGCTGCACTACTGAGCGGCCTCAGCCAACCTGCCACAGGTCATCACCATCTGAAGTTTTATGAGCTCCATTTGGGTGGCTGATTGACACTGCTTTGCTTTCCTCTCCTTATAGAACTGAAGCATAGTAGGTCAATAAGTTCTCATGAAGCACCTCTAAAAAATATTGACCAACTAATTTGTTGGAAATGCAATCTCAGGAGTGATTTCATGTCCTGGTTATGTAAATTGATGTAGATAGCAAGTAGCAAGTAGTGGGTTTACTGTTTGCTTTGAGTCTGACCTGCTTTGAGTGCTCACCCTGACTGCCCCTCCAGTGCTCACCTTGGCTTGTCTCTACATAGAGCTTTTTTTTTATCACTCCAGGCTCATCCCCCACACACAATAGTGCTCTTCCTTCTTGATGCCCACTCTTCAAGGTACTATGCTTTCTTCTTGGGAAGTCTTTGCCTGGCCTGGGAAGCTGTGTTAGCATTTGGATGAATGGCCTACCCATTTTAACCACAGTCTCTCTAGGACGACCAGCCAGATCCCATTGTGTACCTCATGGTCTCTCAGAGCTACACTGTTCACTTCCTGTCCATGGAGTCAGGTGTCTTAACCACTGCAGGAGTCCCAAGGAGGGCTCATGAGGAGTTCTTTGGGAGTGTTGTTCTTGCACTATAGGAGCAAAGGGTACCTTCCTTCCTTTTTGGGTTCAGGAGTTGAGAAAGTCGTGCAAATATATCATGTATTAGAGTGTCACAGTAGTGAAAATGGGAGTGCCCAGAACCCCTGTGAAATTTAGAAGCTCTTTATGAGGACACAGGTATGTGTGGAGTAGAGGTGTTCGTGGAGGTGAACAGGTCCAAAAGAACAGGCAGCATCCCCAGTTTGTCTGGGCAGTGTGCCACTCTCCCTCCTGTCATCCACATGAGCCTCCTCTGGAGATGTGACTTGAGTGGACTGCCCTCTTTGGGTGTTTCGTCGGCCGCTGGCTGGGGCCAGAGAAGGCCATCGTCCGCAGCTGCCTCACTCATAATGACGGCTCAGTGCCACAGAGTGCCTTGCAGTATAAACTTGGACTTTGAGGTGGCGTGGTAAGACACCTTCTACCTAGCTTGCACTTGCTCTCCAGAAAGGCAGATGAGCTGAGTATCTCCATGCTCTACAGACTCCTGTTACATTTGTGAATGCTTTGGTTTTACTTGGTTCATTGGGTAGATCCCTGGATTCTAAGCCTTTCATGTCCTCACTGTAAACACTCAATTCCCCTCTCTTACAAACATGAGGGTGCTTGCTCAGGTTGGCTTTTTTATTTGCTAGTTTTTATTATTATTAAAATTGTCATCTTATGGAACAACCATAGCCTCTATTTCTTGAATGAACACTCGAGTCACCCTGAGGTACATTCTAGTTTCCTGTCTTCTGATGCTGCAACTTCTGCTCTGCTCCTTCCAGGGAAAGTCCGGTGGCCCGACTTCAACCAAGAGGCATACGTCGGAGGGACCATGGTTCGCTCCGGACAGGACCCCTACGCCCGCAACAAGTTCAATCAGGTGGAGAGCGACAAGCTGCGCATGGACAGGAGCATTCCTGACACCCGGCACGACCAGTAAGTACTGCCACTCACGTACCACCACCTTCAGACAGGCTGGGACTGTCTTCCCCCATGGTGCTGGCGTTTCCCTTACTCGGGCACTTGGAGCAGGCTGGCCTGCACAGTGGTATCCAGGAAGCTCCTGAGGTGTGTGGAGTGAAGCTTCTCTGGGTAAGGTGGTCCTGTCCCGTGCCATTCACAGAGGGCTGAGGCTGCTGGCCAGAGACAGGACTAGAAGGGAAAAGTTGTACTGGCCTTGTATTTGCTCTTTACTTGTTAAATTTAAAAAAAACTGATTTACAAAGTAGAGAATTTTTCACCATTCACAATCTTGAGAGGAAGAAAAAATCTAAATTCCTACTTATTACAAGTGTTTGGGAACTAGAGAAAGGAAGTGAAGGAGGCAATAAAATCGGGGCTAGATGCAGCAGGAGGAACAGGAGAGACCCATGACACTACCCTCCTGGTGGTCAAGGAAAGGCCCCTCCTTCATGCTGCTGTGTTGGTGCTAAAGAAAGAGTTTGATTTGTATTGTGCTGTATTGGTGCTAAAGGAAAGGGTCTGGTTTGTACTCTTCAGGTACCTGAGGCTGAGAGGTGGTAGGTGCTGGAGCCTGCCATTCTCAGCCCAGTGCCTCTATGGGCACTATAGAATGTTTGCTACCACCTACTGGGTAGGTGATATTCACGCCCCTCACCTTCTGTTGACCTATAGCATTGCTGTGGGAACTTGGTGGGTTTTTTGATTGGCGTTCTGCTTTGTACCTTCACACTAGAATGTTTGGTGACTCCTCATTCACTGAGAAGTGAGGAGCTACCTACGGCAGGCCACCGTTGTCCTGGTAGGTCTGCTGCTTTTCAGAGCCAGTGGTTGCTCAGGTAATGTGCTACAGATTACACTCTTCGTAGGTGTGGCTTACCAGATGGTCCCAGGTATAGGTGTCTAGACTACCCTCTCCCCCACCACTGTGCTCATGGGGTCCTCTTGCCCCATGACAGAGATGCAAAAGTCATCTTCATGTCTCAAAGTAGAAATCAAGGCACCTGGAATGTTTGTTACTTACCTGATGGCCCATAGCTACTCACCCAAGGCCAGAAGGGGCAGTGTTAATCTGGATAGGGGCCCCTGCTTCCTGCTTCCAGCTGCCATCAGAGCTGGCTTCCCATCATAATGTGACACTGTTCCCTTGAGCTGCAGAAGAGTTCTTTCTGGGGCTTACCAACAGGAGACCGGCTATCTCATCTGCCTCCTTTGCACACCTCCTCAAAGCCCCCAAACGGTGTCCATAGTCTTTCAGTGTTTGGGAATAGGAATTTGTTCAACAGATGTTTGAAAAGCTTTCCTGTGCTGTGCTAAAATTTTAGTCCAGCTACTACATCTCGCTCATTCGCATGTGTTAAAGCAGCAGCTGTGAGGAATGAGTTAAATCCTACCTGAAGTCCACAGGATGTTTGGACAAGAACGTTTCAGACCCTACATGTATCGGCTCCAGGACAGCCATCTGGCTGAGGTTTGTGAATGGCACCAGCCCACCTCCTGGTCCCCCTGTGTTCAGTGGGGGTAGTGCAGGATTAACACTCCTGTCTCTCTATCTCCCTGGCTGTGAGTCTGAGAGGCAGTCTACATGGTAGGTGCACATGGTGGCAGCCAGTCTCCACAGCAATGTCCCAGGACCCAAGTGGAGAGCCTGAGACCCACCAGATGATAGGACCAGCCCTGCAGAGGTTAAACTGTGTATTGGAGCCATCCCCTCCCTGAGATGATGCTTGAAGACCACCCAGCAAGGCCCACCGGACCATTCCAAGCCCTTGCCCAGAGCCTAGCCCTCCCCACAGAGCCCATGTCTTCCCTGCCTGACTTTTCTCCATCGCTCTTACCACAGCTGTGCCTCACTCTACTTCTTTTTGTCTGTCTCCACCCATCAGCATTGTGACTCGTCACGTGCAGGTATGTTTTTTGGCACCGGGCACTCAGGAAATAGTGTCAAGGGAGTACTGGGTGTGCACTTTCAGTGCCATCAGGCATCACATAGTTGGTGGGGGGAGGAGAGGCTTCAGCTGTGAGAGTGCTGTCACCTTAGGACATAATAGAAGCAGGGTTCAGAGCCTCAAGAACAAATGGTACACTGAGAAGCTGGTCAACACTCCCCCCCCCCCCCCCCCCCCCCCCCCCGTGCCCTCCCCCTCCCCATGGTCTACCAGGATGTAGGTAGTTTGTCTGGTTCTGCCAAGCAGAAACAGGAAGTTTTGGGCTCTCATTTTCTTGGCCAGGAAAAGCTGACGTGGTTTACTTTGAGATTGTTTATAGGAATAAAATTAAATAAGCCTTCTTGGAAAACACATTATCTTTTCTTTGTTTCAGTCTTTTCCCTGCTACCCAAACACCACTCCTTTTTGTTTGTTTGACTAAATCCCTTGCAAATGAGAACTGTTTGGGAAAGGAACAGGTCTCCAGCCTTTAGACATGAGTCCTTTGCAAGTTTGTCTCTGTATTGCCACATGTTTGTGTCTCAAACTGAAAGACAGCCCTGAGAACCTATGGAGAAGCCTCTGCGAGAGAGAGCGAGAGAGGTGCCTGTGGGGGCTGCAATCAGAAACACCCTGTCTTCACTCAGTTTGCAAATCACGGTTGACTAGCCCACATTTATTTAGAAGAAGTGGAAGAACTCTGACCACCTTTTGGGTCACCTGTTTCCAGCACTGCTGGACAGAGGTCACGCTCTCCAGGCCATTGCTTAAATCTGTGTGAGGACATTGAAGCAAGAGGCAGGCATTCTCTGGAGAGAGAGGCACTCTCTCTGGCTGGTGTTCTGAAAGGTCTTCGCCAGGAGTGGGGATGAACTTCTCATTATTTCTCTGGAGAATAGCATGGTGGATGCCAAGTTCTCCCGTGGACCCAGCCAGCATAGGGGAGGCTTTGGGAAGACAGTGAGGTCACCAGGGTGAATGGAGTTTTCTGTAGAGGGACTGAGATCTGGATGAACGCACAGGCTCGGGGGGACCCTGGATTGTCTTACCGTATCTTAGACATGTGCCACCCACCTATTATCCTTTCTGAGGGGTGCTGCTGTTCTGGTAAGCTGCCTCTCCTGGGTTGGCACACTCAACTCAGCATGCAGGGGGAGGAAGGGAGGCGGCAGCAGCATCAGGGAGAGGGAAGATGGCAGCACCGGGCATTGAGTGCAGGGGGAGGGAAGGGCAGTAGCACTGGGCATTGAGTGCAGGGGGAGGGAAGGGCAGTAGCACTGGGCATTGAGTGCAGGGAGAGGGAAGATGGCAGCACCGGGCATTGAGTGCAGGGGGAGGGAAGGGCAGTAGCACCAGGGCATCACAGTGGGGAAGACGGTCTCTGGGCTCACGTGGCCTTCAGACCCTGTGGTCAGTTGGCCCATGGCTGGTCTGTTTGCTCATTAGTCATGGTGACAGTGTTTGGTCAGGACAGAGGTGGTGCTCATCCTCTTACCTGTGTCTTTTTCTCTTGGCAATGATTTTGAGGAGCTGGGTGGGGTTATTTCAGATGACTGTGGGCCCCAGACTCAGAGCCCATCCCATGTGTACAGAGGTCTTACCACAGTGCAGACTGGTGTGCGCAGGCCAGGGGGGCATTCTGCTTTCTTAGGTCGTTTTATGGTGTGTTCTAGAGTGTCTTCCAGAGGCTTGTGTGCTGAAAACTTGGACTCCGTGGCAGCAGTGTTGAAAGATGGAGCTTTGGGGACATAATTAGATCCTGAGGGCGCTGGTCTTGTCACTGGATTAATCCATTGATGGGTTCATAGTTGGATGGAGTGTTTGGGAGGTGGTAGAAACTTAAGAAGTAGTACCTAGATGAAAGGAGCTTGTACTCGGTGCCTCTATCTTACCCCTGGCTCCTCCCCATCCTCCTCTCCTGCTTCCTGCCACCATGGTGGTAGCTCTGCTCTGCCAGTTCTTTCTCCTACCCTACTCCCCCACTTCCCCCAATGCCCCACCTCACAACAGGCCTAGGTGATGAGGCCAAGAAGCCTTTAAGCTGACCTTCTCAGATGTTCTGTCCAATGTCTGCCACCAGTGCAAACACATGGACAGGCAACGGGGTGTCCCTAGGCCCATGTGGTGCTGTCAGGAATCTTAACAGCCCCCGTCCCTGGAAACCAGGCACATCCATGGTGTTCTTCATGTGTCTGGAGGCAGGTGCAGGTGCCAAGCTGCAGAGGTGGAACCACTGGCTTGAGGCCGAGCTTGGTACTGGTAGACGAATGGGAGCTAAGGGCTCTATTCTCTCCACATAGCTGCCTTACTGCCTGCACTATGGAGTCTAAGCCTGAGCCTCTGGTGTGAGGCTTGAATGTACACGCCTAAACCCAGGGGAAAAATGGGGCTGTCATCTTGCAGCTATACTCCCAAGCAAAGCTGTGCTCCTCCCTAAAAGACTGGTAAGAAAGAGTTCTCTCTTTTCCACATCCAGGTTCTTGTGTGAACATGGGGAAAGTGTATTATTCATTGGTGCACTCTTTTATATACTTGTTTTTTTCTTTAAAACAAACTTGATTTTCAGCCACAGAACATTCTTCTTCTATGTGTCCTCTCCCTTTTTGATCATCTCAGGCCTTACGTACATGTAAAGAACATACCAGGCTAGGGAGATTGTGTGCTTAGAGGGAAGAGTTTCGTTGTGTCTGTATTAGCCTCTGTGGGCCTGGCTCCTTCCTTGTCTCCTAGCATTGCAGCAGAATTTTAAAGCTGAACCCTAAGTGCCGTACCACTCGTGGCTTAATTTCCTGCCCAGGATGCTGGGCAGAGCTGTGCGGGTCCTAACTGAGGAGCATGGGTTCGTTTCTTATCTAGTCCTTCCTGTGTACCAATGCATAGAGCTGTGTGCTCACCACGAGCATATCTCCCTCTACAGGCTCTGCTCTCTGGTGGAGCAGTAATTTCTGTCTGTAAGGCGAGTATCAGAAGACCCACTCGGCCTTCATTTGGGCCAGTGATTTTGGTGTGTGTCTCTCAGAATGCTCTTTGTGTCCTCCTGTGAGAGTG